GTCGCCAGATGTACCATTAGTAACACATGTCAGAGGGTATTTAAGGTGGGTGGGGGGAGGTAGATTGTGAGGTGTGGTGCTGTGGGGTACCCGGTGGGGTTTGTTTTGCTTTAGAATAACCTGTATGTAATACAATTGCTTGAGGAAAGAGGTCTCTGTGGGCCTGTACCAGGCTCCCTGGGAGTTACGGTGCATCACAGGTAATGGGGCATTCAAAGTGAAATGCCTGCAATAAACCGCCTTGAAACTAGCAGGAAATTGGACAGTGGCACGGGGAAAGGAGTGGTGCTCTCTTGGTCACTCAAGACCCTGTGGCTTTCTGTGGTACCGGGGTGTCTTTGGCCACGTTCCATGACCTGCCCAGCGCCTGTGTTGTTTCCCCTTCTAACAGTGGAAGTGCAGCTGCCATACTGCACTGTCTGTGCACCCTTGAGATGGCTGCAGTTTGGTGGGTGGGCACCCAGGCCTTGCAGTAGCAGAACGGTTTGATGCACTTTGGGATGGGAGCAGCATGTAAGGGCGGTGATTACACTTAAGCAACTGATGGAGCCTGTGCACTGTGTTTGGTTTATTGCTGTCATCCTTGGGAGCCCTTGGGGTCCTGGGGCTGTTTCAGGCTGTGGGGAGGGGCTGGTTCTGCGCCTCCTCACCTGAGAAGTCAGTGCTGTGGGGAGGCAGGGAGCCAGCAGGCTGGCTGGGGCAGCCGTAGAGGGAGCAGCGTGCTCGCTGCATGCACAGCACAGCCTTCCCTGCCCCTTATGCCCCATAGGAAAAAGCTGGGAGCCTGCTCTGTGCCATCCTGGGGGGGGAACACCCCACTGCCTCTTGACGGGTCCCGCTTCCCTCCTTTCTCACCCCAAAACCAGCCAGGCGGCTGCCACAGGAGACAACCAGTCCCTGAGAGCCAGCTCCTCAGAGTTGGGACTGTGCCACAAGGGACACAGCAATGGCTTGTGAGTTGCTGTGAGTGCTGCCTTCACCCTGCATTGGCTGCCAGGCGGGGCGCTGCTTGCAGCCTAGTCCTACCACAGGCAGGCTGTCCGGGTGTCTCTGGGACCTGTTCCTTTCTGTGTTGCATAGGGGAAGCATCTGGCTCAGCTGTCTCGCAGGGACAGGCTAGGCTGATAAAGCTGCAGTCTGTGGTCTTCCTCTTAGCAGCCCTGGGCCTCATCCTGTCCATGGGCTTGCGTGGGGGAAGGCGATTTCCTGGAGCCGGTGTCACCACAAGCTGCCTTGAGCCCTGTGGTTGTCACCCGTCCATGGGGGCAGAGGTCTTCTTAAGCAGTTGGCTTCCTTGCATCAGATGCAGGCAGGCCAGCCAGCCCACCTCCAGCTGCATGAGGAGACACTCTTCGGTGCCATGCGTTGGGCATGGGCTGCCTTGTGTGTGTGTCAAAGGGGGCAGGGAGGATGTCTCAGGAGCTGCTTATACCCCCCTGACCCTTCCTGCCCCACAGAGGAGCAGATGCTGCTTCTGCCTGTGTGACCCTTGGAGCCCGGAAGCTCCCTTTTAAAATGCACCTGAGCAAAGTACTGAGATCAGATCAGGAGCCAGCACAACACCAACTCCTTCCCTCCCCACCCCTGACAGGGAGGAGTCTACGTGCCCCAACAGGTCTCCCTCAACCTGGGCCTTGTTCCCGCTGGAGGGACCCAGGCTGGGATTCGCTGGCTATTGTGTTGATTTGTTTGTGTGGGGCTTTGAAAACAGGCCAGAGACCAAGAGACCAGGGCATGAGCAAGGGATGGTGCTGCCTCAGCGGTGTTGACATATGGAGAGCAATAAAGAACTAGGCAAAGGGCATGGGGTGGGGCTGCTGGCGGAGCAGATCAGGGGAAGTCAGGAGTTGCTTTGCTGGAGATGCAGCTTTGAAAGGAATAAACTGTGGCTAAGGAGAAAATCTGCTGCCTGGGGCTGAGTCTCAGTCCCAGTTCTTGCAAGCCACTGCCCCCTGAAGAAGGGGCATCCGCTTTCACAGCAGTGGGGCAGATAGCAGAGCCCAGCTCCCATGCCTACAGCCTCATGGCAGGTGGGGCACCCAAGGGAGGCTGCTGTCTCTCAGTGTGTTTGTCTTCCTAGCTATCTGCCCCTCTCTGCAATCTCTGAGCCAGGCATGCAGTCCTCTCTGTTACCTAACTGAAGGCCTTGAACACTGCCCAGCTCTTCCTCCCATGTTTCTAAGTGCTTTCTAGGCTGTTTATGAGTGAAGGGAGGACTAGCTGTCAAGTTAGTGCTCTGTGTCCATCTTGGCCTGCCCTCCCACATGCTTTTCTTGGAGACGGGGAGAAAGGTCCAGGCAGTGACACGTCAGAGTCGGTGGGGTAGGTTCACCTCTGATGGCTTGCAGCCATCGCTGGCTGCAAAGGTCCCTCAAGTTGTACTGCTGAAACCTGCTCTCCTGTGACTTCGAGTCATGGCGTTGCTTTGGTATCAGGAAGTTTGCCATTTTTACCTTACCGTTTCTATGTCTGCAGGGCTGGGGAGTGAGTGCAGGCCCCACCCATCCCATGGCTGCACAGAGGACACGAGTCCCACCACTGAAGCCTGGGCAGTGCTTTGGTCACGAAAGCTAAGCAAGGCTTGAGTGGCCACGTCTTGAGATGAGACCTCTAAGGGAAGCCCCGGGTGTATGTGTGTGTGTGGAGTCACAGAGGTAAGACAGCCCATCTTGGCTCCAAAGCTCTGGCTGACATGGGGAGTTATAGATAACTTCTTCCCATGCTACTGCTAGAGAAGGGCTGGCACCTAAGCTGTTGTGTTCTCATGAGCCTTGCTGTGCTCCATGCTCCCAGCCCCAACTGCATCTCTGGGGAAAATGAAGTCCTCTCTGCCCCCATATTCTCATAGTTAGCTTGGTCTTTCCAAAACCCATGTGATATCCCCTAGCACAGGGCTGTTCAACTTGCATGCAACCTCTGAGGGGTTAACAAGCACTCCAGGGGCTCCCACCCAGCCACCACTCTTCCCAGTGCTCTCACACTGTGGCCAGTCTGGCCTTCCCATCTCCTTTGGCTTCTGCTTCCTGTCCCCACTCCTGGAGGTGGGGTGGGGTGGTGCAGTGGGAGGGAGCCTGGGGAGGCATCTGTGTTGCCTGTGCACTGTACATGACCAGCAGTGATGAGGTCCTGGCTGCCCACCTGGTAAGGGGTGGGGGTCAGCATGCCCATGCTGCACGCAGCCAAGAAAAGAGCTCTGCCTGCCCATGCGGCAGAGTGGGGAAGCCCAGTTGCCCACAGAGTAGATACGGGGAGCCTGACTGCCCACCTGGCAGAGGGAGGCAAAAGGGGTGGGAGCAGCTGCCTGTACAGGGCGTGGAGCCTGGCAGGAAGTGGGATGGCCCTTCCCTAGCTCACAGACACTCTACCTCTTTTTATGCCACAGCCCTCACTGGAAATGCACATTTAGTCCGCGTTCCCTACACCATAAATCTGGCCTGCACTGCTTTCTGGCATCCCTTCTGCAGCTTGGTGTGGGTAAGCAGACAGACACCACCTGGCAGAGGTGCTGTGTTAGCTGAGCACCGCCATCCTGAGCACTGGCATTAAGGTAGCACTGGGAAAGCTGCTATCAGAGTTGTGTGACCCCTTCTCAGCCTGCAGATGCTCAGCACCCTTGGCCTGCAGTTCCTGCTCTTCCAGCCAGGAGGAACCCAAGGCTCCATCTTGTTGCCTGCCATGCCAAGGAGCTAGCTCAGGATCAGCTCCCCCAGAGCTGCACCTCGCTTCTCTCGTACTGCAGTAAGAGGCAGGAACCGGGCTCTTTACCATGAGGTCTTGTCATGTGCAGGATGGACTTGGTCACAGGCTGCATCTTACCACAGAGCTGCTAGTGGGTGCTGTGGGGAAGGGGGAGGCCAAGACCAAGTTAAAATGACAACTGTTTATTTGAACTGCTGAAATTGGAATGATGAAACGGGCAGAAATGGTGAGAGATGGGCTAGCAGACCCCAAGCAACCATGCTGGGCAGCTTGCCAGTGAGCGAGGCAGGCAGGCCAGGAGCACTTCCTGGAGAGAGCTGTATGCCCCTGGTCCTGCCCCTCCACCAGGAAGCACCTGTTATCAGCTCTCTGGGTCGGGTAGATAGGCCACTGTGCTACTGTAAGGCCACGCCGTTTTCTTCCTTCAGTCGTGGTTCCCTGCTGCCTGGCCTCTTCCCCAGGCATTGCAGCCGATGGCCCAGGGCTCTACTAAGAGAACTAAGCCCATTGCCTTTCTGGGTGGTGGCCATGTCCCCATACCATATGCAACAAGCTCCAGTGGCTTGTTGAAACCAGTCATGAGACACTGAATCACAGATTCTACTGATCATGCCAAACCCCATCACCTCAGCAGCATCCATTCCTGCAAAACCCATTCAGCAGGGCTAGCAAATCCTTAAACTCATGCTGAAGCCTGAGGCACCAGCTTTCCCTGAGTGCTTTCCTTTCCACCAGAGCTATCAGACAGTTCCAGGCAAAAGGCTGAGTTCTTTTCTGCCAACAACTCCCCTTGGTGTCAAACCACTTCTAACAGGCAGGTACCTAGAGTCTATGCTGGGCTGTAAGGCTTCAAGAGGCCGGTGAAAACCAGGCTGTCTCCCAGGCTTGACTCCCTGTAGGGAGCATGCAGGAATCAGAGTGCTGAAGGCCATACTAGGGTTTTGGGTTAAAGAAACTTGGTTGAATGGCTCATGTTCCTCAGGGGGACGCCATGCTGACAGAGTCACCTGCTGCCTTTCTTCCCTTCAGAGGTCATCCTCTGTCACAAGGCAGTAGAAGTCGGTCCTCGCCCCATAGTTGCGAGACCCCAGGTCGGAGACATCTATTTCATTTCTCTGGCCCTCGCTCAACTGCACCTCTTCCATCGTGCCACCTGCCAGTGCTGTTGGTCCATCAGAGCCGGTCACTCGAGGAGTTGGTGGGCCTCTGAAGATGGGCCCTTGCAGGCCTATGGGGTGGGAGATAGTACAGGTTGATGGGGAGGGAGAGGTATTGCTACAGGTATTGCTGGCTCCGAGGGAAGCCCCTGAGATACGGTCTGGGGGATAGAGTGGACATTCTGGACACGGGCTCCAGAGGGTGTTTTCTACCACAAAATAATTCCAGGGTAATACCTGTCTAGTCACAAGTGTCAGAACAGGCAAAAATAAGTTAGGCCCTGTTCTTCTCACTGAAGAGCTGTTGGCGTGAATCCAGGTCTCAGCATCCTAACACACTACCTGCTGTTGTCCCTTCAAAGCTTGAGGATGCCCTGGCAGCCTGTGGGAGAGCTGGACTGGGCCAGACAGGGAAATGCTGTCATTCTTTGTGCTGGAGGTCAGCAGACCAAAGGCAATGCACGTTCACCATGTTTAGGGGCCTGATTCTTGACAATTTGCCTGCAACAAACACCCAGTGCAGTGACCTCAGCCAACAAAAGCTGTGCCTACCCCATCTTCCCTCCTGACAATGAAACCAATGAGGACAACCAAGCTGGGCTCACCATTACCAGCTGCTTGTAAACCTCCCTCACGCCATGCCACACCATGCCACAGCTGTTCCAGAGGCTTAGGGGAAAGCCACTAGCAATGCCCTGGTTCTGAAGGTGCCAACAACCACTGATCTAACCCCACCGCTCCCTCGCTGCCCTTGTGCTCTAAGGCAATGTGGAGGATGGGTCACGGCCTCCACTGCTCTGACCTGAACAGTGGGGCTTTCCCCCCAAAAAGGGAAGAACAGCTCCTCCGAAGTGGAGGCACTTGCCAACACATTCAGTGTGGTGGATGGGAAGTGGGGTTAGTGGCTGCCTACAGCTGGTCACTTCAATTTCTTTTGTTAGAGCAGTTATTTGAAGATGATTTGAGCAAATAATTGAAACATATGGCTCAACTCAGGCTTCCTGGCCTCTGAGGCATGAGAAGGGGCCCTGAAACCACTGCTTCGAGGGAGGGGGCAGAAGGCAAAGCTTCCCTCTACAAGATGTCTTCCCCTGGGACCCTTCCTCATATCTTTTCCTCTCATCTGGGCCAGACTGGAGGACCCTTTCATTTCTGACACAGGGCTGAGGTGCAGCAGGAGCTGTCCCTGAGAAAGGATGCGGGCTGGCCCCTGCTGTACAAGCCCTTGTTCACGAGGTGTCAGTAGGATATATGCCAGCAGCCCAGCCTATATGTTCTGGCATGACCCTGTGCTGAATGCTGCTCAAGGATGAGGGCGGTGAGCCCCCTGGGGAAGGGCACTTAGTGCCCGAAAGCTTGTCCAGCACCTTTTCTAGCTAAACAGTTGGTCCAGTACAAGATACCACCAATGAAAAAAATCCCCGAGCCTCCTAAGAACCAAGGGAGATGTCGGACATACCTGGGTCTCCCTCAGGATGGGGTTCTCTTCGGTGCTCCAGGTAGCTGCTGTGGAGAATCAGCATGGGGTCCTTGTCCTCCTGGAGCTGGGTTTGAGGATCTCCCATGGAGTGCTGGAAAGAAACTTTCCGTGGCAGGGCTAGACATAGCTCCTTCCAGAAGTCTGAAGAAGGGGTCTGTATGGGGGGTGAGAACACCGGTCTCGTTAACAGAGTTTTTTGGCTTCAAACTGCCCTCCACCTTGTGAAACACCCACACACTCCCTGGCACTCTGAGGACAACTTTCAACACCTCTACTTGTTGCGAGACTTCTTTGGGGGGGGGTGGGGAGTGACTTGGGAAGCATGTGCTGAAGGCCTGTCTCCTGGGGTGTTTGTGGAGATGACAATCCTATGGCTGCAGAGGGAGTTTGGCTAAACTCACTGGGGCAAAAGGGCCTTTTCTTCTGGTACAGTTGAGAGGTTCCAGCAGAGTTCAGAGCCCCACTGCGTGCTGCACAGTACCAATGCACTGCAAGGAACAACCACATGCCCTGCAACACGCAACCTAAGCACACAAGATGAAGGCACAAAGAAAAGAGGCTTGCCCAAGGCTGTCCAGCAGATCAGTGGCAGAGGTGGGGAAAGAGATGACTTGATGTCCTGTGATCCATCTGCTAAGGCAGGTGTCTCCCTCCGTCTCCTTCAGATTGCTCACATTCCCCTGAGGTCTCCTGCATATGCCCAGGCTCCAAGAGGAGCACGGTAATGGTGGTTTATTTCTGTCTCTCCAGCAGGAGTTTCATATCATCTTAACCAAGGGGGACCGCTGGGTTATCCACTGGCTGTGCCAGAAACCATCCTGAGGCTGTGCTATAGCTACTCCAGGGCACGCCAGACCCTGGCAGCCAGGCTGCAGGGCTTCTGCTGCTTTAGACATGGACTCTGGCACTTGCAATGCTTTCTCCTCCCTTATGGGGAACCTTGTAGCTTCACTTTGACTGAAAGACTCTCTGGAGCCAGCATGGACAAGTCCCTGCACATACCTGCAGTCCTGGGAGCAAAACTTGGGCAAGAACCCCACTCAGACAATGGCACCTCGCCTGAGTGAGGAACCAGCAGAACCTGTGTGGGGAACTCTGAAGAAGCACAGCTGAGGCTTCAGGGGCTGGGAGCAGCAGGTCTGGGCTTGGGTTTGAAGGAGAAATTGCTGTGGGAATCGGTATAGTTTCGTTATGTGAACAGAATGAGGCTTAGGTGCAGCTTTCCAAGCTAAAATCACTTCTGAAATGCAACACTTTGGTGGGAGCTGATGTGCAGGGGAGAGCTGTATACCAGGGTCTTCATGATCTCTGGGTCTTCACTAAAAGCCCTGGTTCCTATAACCACCAGCCCCTGAATCCTGGGATTCAAGACACTGGGTTTTTCCCCTCTCATGAGTCAACCCTGGGACTAGAGATTTTGCAGAGTGAATGGTGCCCTCCTGTGGCAACACCTGTGCCATCCCACTAGCCATTAGAGGGCTTGCAGTAGTATAGACTAGGGTTGAAAGACCTCTCTGAGGACTGCAAAGTACATTCCTTCCTTCTTTCAGTAGTGAGCAATAAAGAAGGAAAGAGCTTGGTGTGAGTTTGGGGCTGGCCATTAGAAACCACATCAGCCTTACAGGCATGGAGCACTTTGACCCTGCTCTTCGAGAGACTTCCTTGCACTGAGCTCTTGGGGAGTATATATAATGCATAAGGCTACAATGCCACCTCTTCCTTGACTCCACATAGGAACTTTATTGGGCTCTTCATGGCACAGAGGACATACTACCAATGCCCCTTCACATGCAGACATTAGCTGCTGCTGTCCCTCAAGTGGGGGAGCAAAGAGCAGGAACAATGGCTCTTCACATGCTCTTGTCATAGAAAGAGACCATGAAGCTTGTTTTCTGCTGTGCATGTGAAAGCCAAATGGGGAAGGTGATGCATCCATGTGAACATAATGAAAACAGGGGCTTGAACTTCTGGCTTCCATTGTAATCCTTGACGTATGTAGGACAAACACAGGACCGTGGCTGGTCGGAGGGAGCTGAAATGTTAACGGTATGTGCAGGCTGCCACTGGCTTGAAGGTCCCGGGGCAAGTCACTTACAGGCCAGTGATTCCCACCCCCTGCAAATGCACATAGGCATACACATGCTTATTTGCTGCCCACACCAGTCTCAGCAGGAGCTGAGCTTGCATCCTGTACCTGTAACCTCTCTTTCTGTGTTGGTATGATCTCTTTGCAGAGATCTGACCTGGCTTGGCTGCTGCCTGTTGCCTTCTCTCAGGTTCTGGAGCCCCTTCATGGCCATCAGCATCAGTAGTTAAAGCTGCAGCTCCATGAACCTCTAGGCTTGCCTTCCTTGCAAACAAACTGATATTTTCTGTTTTGACCAGCTCTGTGTGAGACCTCATATTCTCTCTTACTGCACCAGGGTTAGGGTTGGCTCTTGCCTCCAAGAAGGGAGGCTTCAGCATCTCCTGGTAGCCACTGCATTGATAGTTCATTGGGGCTTTCCCACTTCAGGGCAAGGGCAGCAATGTAGATGCCCTGAGGAAGAACATATAAGGGCAGTGCAGGGAAGTGTCCCAAAAGGATAGTGGGGAGGATATCTTTAAGACCCCACTTAGCCTATCTAAAGAATATCTTTAAGACCTCACTTAGCATATCTAACTCTGCTCTCTCAGCTTTGCAGTAATGAAGCTGATTCTGGTATGTGCTGTTGCAGTGGGCCTGTGGGGCAGAGGCAGTCTTTGGCCCTTCCCCTCAAAGAAGCATAGCTTCCCTTCAATGCTTCTTGAGAGTCTGACATGCACTCCTCCCAGAAGAGCTGTTTCCAGAGTCTCTGCTGTAGCACAGTGCAAAGCAGGACTGCCAGGATCTTTTCAATCCCACCTCCCACACCCAGCTTACCATTGAGCCAGTCTGCCAGAGCAACAGGGTTACAGCCTTCTTGTGCTGCTTTAGCAAGTTAATGGCTGGATGCACTATCTCCCGGTACTGAGTCTGAAAAACTATGAAGATGGGTCTCTGGGACAGCTCCATTAGTCTCCATAGACCTTCCCTGGAAAATGAGATAACAGTTCCAGGGGGTTAGTAGTGTCATGCATGGCTTCTGCTCAGCAAATGCTACAGGTTCTCATTGCTGCATAGTCCTAACCTAACTGCAGAGCAATGGAAAGACTCCCACGGACTTTGAGGGGCATTGGCTTGGCACTCGGCTTCCTTGTGAGATGGAGCTACAAGAACTGAGGCAAGGTGTTAGGACTCCTATCTGTACTAGGTGGGGGATGGGGAGCAGGGAGAAACCTCTGGAATTAAGGTTCTCTACTTCTTTACATGCCAAGTTGCAGCCTTCAGTAATTTTACCAAACTTTCACATGCCACCACCTACCAAATCTTTTTGGAAAGTCAACTATTGTGGAGGGTAAGACTAGAAGAAAATACACTTCTAGCATGGGAGGAAAACAACAATTGTTTCACTCAGAAGCTCTTGGGTTCCATTGTTCTGAGCAGGGACTAGAGAGGGGCTGGTGTGGGGTCATTCTGTTTTCATGCAAGTTTAGCATGTGAGCTTGGCAGCTAGGTTTTATCTGAAGGCTCTGCCTGCACTGAGTATGCTCCAGGCTCTTGAGACTGAGCAGGATTTATCCTGAAGTTGTTCTTCCCTGGTGCTAGGGGGTTCTGTAGTTCTAGGCACAGGGCAACTCAAGCCCATGCTCTCAGGGCATGGCAGTACCATGGAGAAGCTGCTGACTGCAGCTGTGGGAGGGAAGATGTCTGTTTGCCAGGCCACAGCAGAACTGTGGGTCACTTGGACAATCTCCTGGGAATTACCTTGGTGAGTAGGAAGCAAAGCAGCAGCCTGTTGCCATGTTCAGTGGCCGGCCAGTTACCTGAAGTTGTTGTTGCACCAGTCTTGCTCTAAGTATGCATTGGAGAGAACCACAATGAGGCGTCTGCACCGACTGACATTCATGATCAGGTCTGCCGAAGGCTCTGTGGGAGTGGAATAGAGAAGCAGCTCAGCAGTAGCCATGGCAAAGGATTAGCGGAGGCAGCAAGGGACTCTTCCTTTGGAAACAGGCTGTCCTTGCATGCAAACCCAAATCAAGAACCCTCCATTAAGAGGATTGTAATCTATAAAGTAATGGAAGTCATAGCCCAGTCCCTCTTAAAGTGCCCTTTTCACACCCTCCTCTTGGGTTACAGTACCAGCGCTAAAGACAATATTTCCAGCTGTTACAGCAGGGAAAAAGGTGTCCGAAATTCTGGGTTTCATTCTGTGGGGAAGCACTGATCCTTCCAGTAACTGGTTTCCCCACCTACAGACTACTCTGATATCTCCACCTGAGCGGGTTTCATGTTAGTAAAACTGCTCCATGGAGCCTGAATGCAAAGGAAGGTGTTGCCCCAGAGAGCAGCCCAGTGTCGTCAGTAAATGTGAACCTTTGCACTCCCAGCCAGAACCCATCAACCCTTGGCCAAAGGTGACTTTCTGGAAGGGGAGGCTTCATTCCCTCCAGGGTAGAGATGAGACAGGAAGTAGTACTGAAGGAAGCCCCCACCTGAGTTGGGCAGGATGGTCTTATCATCTAGAAAGAGCTTGTAGCCATAACGGTTTTCCAGCTGTGGCTTCACAATGAAGTTCACAAACTTCCTGTCATCTGAGGAGTTCATGTAGGACACGTAGGCATCGTAGAGTTTCCCATCTGTAAAAAGTGCTCAGCAGATCAAGGGGAAAATAGGCATGGGCAAAAGAGACGCACCACATTGTATGGCAGATGAGGAACTTTGGTTTGCTTCCGCAGCCAGCTGTCTTCCTCTGTGCTACTGACCAGGGAGAGACTCTACCCTTACCCCTTGTGCTAGACTCTCCTGGTGGCAGGGCATCTGTGTTAACTTGCATAAATGGTAGAAATGGGAGGCTCTATATCCACAATGTCTAACAGCACTAAAAAACTTGCCTGTGATTAAATAAAATTGAACCCCAGATCCAGGTGGAATAGTGCATTCTAGAGGTGGACAAGCCTCTGCTTAAGAGAGGAGAAGGGTCAGAATGGGAACTGAGTCTATTTGTCATATGCCCTAGTGCCCTACTGTCCCAAGTACACACAGAAGTGTGTGGTAGTAGATCACAGCCATGGTTTGTATGATGCTCAGGGAAGCAGGTTGTGGGTGCTACCACCATACAAATGCAAATCCCACAGAGATGCTGGCAGGGGTTCCAAGAACTTGCCTTCATCAGTTCTCAACATCTCCACACTCACACATTTTCTAAATACAGAAAAATATGAGATAAAATATATTTATACCTGGGATTGATGTTAGGGAAGGTGATGAAGGGTTTTTTTAGCACTGGCAGAAGGTCAAAAAGGTACAATGGAAAAATGGATTGGAAATTAGAAGCAGCTATCTAACTCCTAATGATTGCTTGTGGTTGCAGGGAGTGAGTTTTGTAGCCCAGGAGACCCCTTTCAGTCCTGATGCTATTCCCAACTATTCAAAAAAAAAGACCATAATTTCTCTAGAATCCAAATTCATCATATATGGCAGGGGAAAAAATCCTGAAGCAAAAATGTTTAGCCTGGAAATTAAAAATTTAGGCTTCTGCTTCAAGGAATCCCGAAGTGTTGGAAAGAATACAAGTATGTCGTTAAGATGATCCAAACAACCTTCACTCTGCCTCATAGCACGAAAACCCCCAAGTAACAAGAAACTCGGAGACAACTTGAAGGATCTTTGTAGTAATTAATAAAATGCTAATGAATTTGAGCAATGGACTGAAAAGGTTGTCTTTGTGTTTCTGGTGGCACTGTGGAGCAGAGTTAAGGTTGGCGGGTAGCTATCATTATGCATCTGCATGCTTTCCCACGTTTAGAGAGTTTGTGGAGTGGAGTTACTAGGATTCCTAACTGTGTGCAATAACTTCTGCTACAGAATCACTTATCAATTTCCACTTTTACAACAGTCTGGAAAACCTGGTTTATGGTTTAACTTTTTAAGGTGTGACTAAGCCGATTAAGTTAACCTGCAAGCAAAAGGAGGTGTTGACATTCTTGTTTGTCAAGATGAACAGAAACAGGTTTAGCTAAACTATAAATGGTAACTCCTAAAACTGAAGTATATCCACAGGGTTCTGCATTGCTTGAAGTAAACTGGTGTACCGTGTTTTAGACAATATCTCACAATGGGAAGTGTCTCTCATAAAAGTTAGGGAAATGGGAAGGGTTGCTTTCATGGTAGTGAAGAAACTCCCATATGTCTGGTTCAGTATGATGATAAATTGTACAACATTATATCCCTTTAGGTATACATGATCATTAACACGTTGTCTTAAATATATTGTAGATGTGACCATCACAGAGGACAGTCCGGTTATCCTCTGTCCTCTATTGATACGAAATCGAATCCCTTTATGTCCTCTATTTTTCCCTTGAAGAGAAAAATAGAGGACATAAAGGTGTTGGGTTTTTTATCACTAGAGGACGGAGTAGCAGAAAACCAGAATGTCCTCTATGATGGCCATCCGATAGATGTCATGTTATGGGAAGTGTGTTTTTTAACAACATACCAGGGAAGAGTGCAGTTTCAGAAAACTCCCTAGGCAGTTTTTCCCCAAGCTTTTCAGAAATTAAACTGGGATGAGATGTTGTGAGAAATTTCAGAGCAACTGGTTTGGTTTTGATGTAATATGGTCCCCATCTTCAAGAAGGGGAAGAGGGAGGACCCGGGTAACTATAGGCCCGTCAGTCTTACCTCAATCCTGGGGAAACTCTTTGAGAAGATCATCAAGGAGCACATTTGTGATGGGCCGGCATCAGAAATGATGCTCAGGGGCAATCAGCATGG